GTTTAACACTGATGTATTGCAATTCAGAAACTTCAGTAATTTTTTAACTTTTATTCACATTACTAAACCAGTTTTTAATAAAGATTAACTCATAATCTGTGTGCATAAGCACATGTACAACAAAAGGTAGTGAAAAATAATATCGTACCTAAAATAGTAACTATGCAGAGCAAATTATGTTATACAAAACCACTTTGTAAAATACCACGGAGAGTAAAGACTGTATGATAATATGAAAGCAACGCTTTTCATGTAAGTGTTCTATTGAACCCAAAATGACCCAAATTTCAGCTAAAAGTTAAGGGCTTCCTTATAAACCTTTCTGAATAAGATTTATGCCAATAAGCAGGATACTATTATTTAACTATCTTAAGGAGTCTGAGGATATTAAAAAAGAAAATTCAATGCAAGAAGAAAATTTAAGAAAAAGTACATAGGAGTTTTCTTGGCTTGAGTCTAACTTTTTCATATTTTTAATGTGAATTTATTGTTCATGAAAGGTGTCGGATTATGAATCTTCAGGCTGAAGTTATCTATACAGCCAGATGTGTAGTGCATCAGCATTGTCAAATCTCCCCTTAAAATGCACTTCTTCTCTGAAGCCAATCAGAGTTTATACACTGCTAAAGAAACGTGGGGTTTTTTTTTTGGCTTTGGTATTTTTTTAGATTGACTTTTAAATTCCAGGAAGAAGAATGGAAAATGTTTTTCATGAAGGAAGGAGTCCACATTCTCATATTAAGGGGGCTTCAGGTCACATGCAGTTGTGCAAGCAAACACTTTTGCATAATCTTACCTGAGCAACTGTGTTGATTATGAAGTCAATCACTTACAAGTGTATTGGCCAGGATTTGGTCTAACGTTGTCAGTCTCCCATGGTGCATTTTCTGTGCAAATCTCAGTCTCCCCTATCAATAAATACCAATCTCTAGGGACGACCAGGGGCTAAAATGTACAATTCCACAGGTGCACAAACTCAAAAATTTACATGGAAGTACATGTTTGCGGATTCAGCCATTACTTGCTCATAGGTAATTATGCTAATCTTCACTGGCAAGTTAACACCTCGTAAGCCAAGCAGCAAATGGGAGACTACCTTTTACAAGCTATGCTTTCTGCACACCAGACCTCACAGGCAACAGAAGCAATGCAGCAAAATGCCTTTGATTCATGGGAGTTGCCACAACCACATCTTTCGAGTACTACCACAAACCCATCTATTCTGCCAAACACAAATCTTTAGACTATTCAAAAAACACATTCTAGAGAAACAGAATTTGCTGTCTATGACTGTCTCCCAATCTAAGGATTTTAAAATTTGCAGTGCATACCTGTTCCACTTTAAGAGCTCTCCTGATACAAGTAGCTTTTTGTTCATTAATGAAAGAAAAAAACAAGCCTTGTAAAAAATCCATCCAATAAGCACCCAGACTGTTGCACCACACCTTTGTGCACAGTTTAAGTCTTACCAGTGCCAGGCAAATGAAAACTGAGAACATTTCCTGCTTTACACTTGCGTAACATTTAAGTAATATTTTTATTACCTGCAGTATGGTACTTACCAAAGAATTTCAGTAAGACCACTGCTCCTTTTTTCCGAATATTGTATCAACACTGTTGATCACACTCCCTGACCGTATATACTCAATTTTAAACACTTAGACTAATTACCTCAATTTCAACATTTGAAGTTAGACATGGGAGTGGTTACCGGATCAGAACTTAAATAATTTTGCAACTGCATGATTAAGAGGGAAATGTTGAACCATGATTAGGTTACTGGTGCTGTGGATGGGTTTCACCTTGAAGTTAGAACTAACATCTGAAGTTTCCTAACATTTAGGGATATACTATAGTGCATCTCATTACAGAAACTGAAGCCAGCTATAAATTGCAAACAGAAATGAAAGCCACTTGTCAAAAAGGGGAGAAACACACAATATATTAAGGTTGATTTGCCTCTTCCTTTCAACAGCAGTCTGGGCAAAATCTCAGACACCATCCAGAATCACAGGCTGGAAAAAACTTCTGCAGGTCATTCGGTTCAGCTCCCTCACAACCTCTCCAGTCAATCTGTTCTAGAGTTTCATCACCTTCATGGTAAAAAATAGGAAGGAACTAAGGAAGTCCTTGTCAGATCAGCTTTTTGGCAGTGCTAGAGACAGATATGTGCAGAAGTGTAGTTTGTATGTCAAGTACTTCTGTGATGCATTTTAACATAATGCAACCTGATTATTAAGTAAATGGGCAAGACTCACAATTTGTAACTCCATGTTTTCTAATTTAACTTAAGACTTGTCAAATATCTGTATCATGATTATTTATTTTTTTTAAAATCTGTGGAGATGACTAGAATTTTTGTTTCTAACCATATTTTCATCAAACATTAGCTAAACTATGCTACATCTACTTTTTATTCAACATATGTTAAGATATAAAAATTAGCATCTACCAGCAATAAAACATCAGGAGTTTCATAAAACAGATTTTTGATCATATGCTGGCCTTCTACTATAATAAGAGCCACATAAATTACTTGATATATTCATACATGGTAACCAAACAAGAGGGCTGACAAGCAACTAGGAAATTGCTACAGCTCATTTTATTCAATCACATTCAGTAGTTCTAATTTCTAGTGTCCTGGGTTTCTGTGTGCGGTGGGGGTTTTTGATAGTGGGGGAGGGGGCTATAGTGGTGGCTCCTGTCAGAAGCTTCTCAAAGTTCCCTGGCTCCAAACAGGGCCTGCCTCTGGCCAGGGCTGAGACAATTAGTGACAGTGGCTGCGCCTCTGTAATAACGTATTTAAGAAGGGGAACCTGGGAGGAGGAGTGGGAATTGTGAAGAGGAGTTACAAGGATGACATCTCTGCAAACACCCAGGTCAGTGGAAGAAAGGAGGACAAAGTGGGGGAGGTGTGCCAGAGCAGAGACCCCCCTACAGCCTGGGGTGAGATGGCAGGGCCATGCCCCTGCCACCCATGGAGATCACCAGTGCAGCAGAGGCTGACTTGCTGACCTGCAGCCCGTGGAGGAGCCCATACCAGCTGAACGCAAAAGAGGCTGGGACTCTGAGGGAAGCGCCCACTGTTGTGGTTTGGCACCAGCAGGACTGCAACACGCAAGGGGGACCCCACTAGGGCAGCTCAGGAGTGGCTGCATCCCATGAGGAGGACTCATGATGGAGAAAGTTCATGGAGGTCTGTCTCCAGTGAGAGGGGAGCCACATGGAACAGGGGAAAGAATTGCGAGGAGTACCTTACCCCCCTGCCCTGAGGAGGAAGGAGAGCTGAGCTGACTGTAAGCCCCATTCCCTGTCCCCCACACCGCTCGTGGGGAGGAGGTAGAAATATTAGGATCAAAGATGAGACCGGAAAAAGGGAGGTGTGGAGGGAGGTGTTTTCAAGATGTGATAATGCTTCTCACTGCCCTACTCTGTATGTTAAGTAGTGGTGGTGGTATTAGTGTCTGTATTAAATTTATGGTTTGGGTTTTTTTCTTCCCCTAAGGAGTCTATCTTTTGCCTGTGACCATAATAGGTGAGTCATCACTCCCTGTCCTTATCTTGATTATGAAACCTTTTGATTCCTTTTTTTCTTCCCAGCACTGGGGTGAAGGGGGAGTGAGCAGCTGTGTGGTGCTCAGTTGCCCTCCGAGCTTAATAATATCTAGACATTCAAATATGTGTCTATAGAAAACCTGTAAAAATTCAAAAACTTTGAAAACTCTGCTCTGATTAAATCACCTAAGCAAGTGTTGAGGCTTGTGAGCAAGTGAGAAGGGATTGAGGACAACCTACATAACTATGGTAGGAGTTTTAAGAGTCTATTGAGGCACTCCATTCAGCTCTGTACATATCAGGTAAGAACTGGAAACGTTACTCTCACGCAAGCCCAGTGCAGCAGCCAGTGTGGGTTTTACTTGGTGCTATGCATGAGCTACAAAGCCCGAATCTTGAAAGAATTGTTATCTGAGAGGTGATTAAATACACAATGCACTCTTGCAGGCTTGCTTAAGGACCTGTGCATTGTATTCATTGTGGGATGATGACATTCCAAAGTATCTGAAAAACCAAGCCATGCCAGAGCTAAAAAATTGATTTAGGTGCTTCCCTTTAGATATCTGTGTTTAAAATTTGATGGTTTAACAAAACCAGACAAGTAGCCCTGAGGCTAAGTATAAAATATTAGAAAATAATCCTTTAGAATGGAAATGCTCTAGCAGATGACAGTGAAAACCTCTAATATGTTATACCAATTTGGTTTTTATTTAATGGCCTGTACAGAAACAAGGGAGGGCTTGGACACTGCCACCACACCAGGAGGAATTTTGTCTTCTGTCTACTTGTCATACTCTGTGATAGATTGAAATAGTTCTGCCTGTGCCTCTGGAGATAGCCTAATACAATTATAGAATCTTTCTCTCATAACCAGCATGAGTAGTTTTGCAGTTAAAAAAAATCATAACTTTCCATCTGATCAAATCCATTTCCAGAATGTCACAGTATCTTTCCCTTAAAAAATTTTATTTAAAATTATAAGCAAACTTGTGAACCCATGTTTCTGCCAAAAATAATGTAAAAGGTCTTTTTTCCTGCACAAAATACATGATTTCAGGGATTCTAAACGAAAATTTGTTTAGAAGGTCTTATAATGAGGCCATGGCTTCATATGTGAAATACATTATCAGCTAGAGTCCTGCAAGAATCTATTTTTGTTTTTCAGAAAAGTCAGGATTTTAAACTAGCATTACTGTTCATCCCAATTTGGTGTTAACCTTAGTATTCCAACGATTAAAAGGCCATCAGATCTTCTGTCATTTTAAAAGAAATACAGTCTGTGGCTGTGACAGCATTTGACATAAATAATATGGCAAAATATATCTAAGATAACCCCAAGTGTGTTTCTCTAAATGCATTAAAAATTTATACAATTTCTCTTAACAGATTCCACACAGAAAAGAGGAGATTATGAAACAGGCTCCATCAGGCTGATGTTTATCTATAAAGTTCTTCTTTCAGGGTTTCTAAAAATGCCTTGTCAGCAACTGCCTGAATTTTTAAAGGTGTCCTATCAACACTTTTTTTTTTTTTTTTTTTTTTTGACATAATAGCAGAGACTGTTACATTACATATATAAGAGAGTTTAAGTTCACTACAGAAAAAGAAATATTTTCTTGTATTCGTATGCTTTCAGTCATGGGACATCAAAGCATAGGTTAGCAGTGTGCACCAAGTGCAGAGACATATTGACTTCGGTGGGAGTTACAACACCTTATTCACTCAATACACCCATAAAGGTGATATTGGCTGTTGCAAGTGAATGGAGCAATCTTTATAAGATAAAAGGCATGGGAGACAGGGACTCGGAGGCATAGCATCCAGGCAAGCTGAGGCATCATGAAATTAAGAAAAGTCACCCAGGAGACTCCAGGAGAAAAATGAGATTTTTTTTTTTTTTTCTTTACATAGAAGGAAAGTTGAAATTTAAAAAAGGTATTTCTAGTAATAAAATACCTGGAGAATTAAGAGCCAGTAAAAATGTCATTAGTCACCTTGCAGGCATTGCTATGGGGACAGCAAGATACCAGACATAAAATTCCTTCCAGACAAGATAGGCCAGGGCATCCTTAAATAGAAAACAACAATAAATTCACAACATTCTCAAAAGACTTCAGGGCCTTGCTATAAACACTAGTCAAAACTTCTGCACTGACTAATATATCAAACCACTTTGTCATGTTTAAATAGGTCTGCACATTATCTGATATTCTCGTTGCAGCACACCAGCAACAAATGGCAAGTCACAGACCATTCTAATCACATTTCATATTTTTTAAATGCTCCCATAACTGCAAGTCAGTATAACGTCATATAAACTAAATTGGTCTAATAAGATAATTTTATTCAATAGAATCACTTTAAAAAACCCAAGCAAGAAATTCAGGCCCATAAGCCCATTAACCTAGCAAATCCTTCTATGATATAAGCTTCCACTCAAGATTTTAAGGAGTACACAAAAAAGGAGAGCAGCAGTAAGTATCAAACTCAAGAACTCTTTCATAGCATCCTTCATGAATGTTGTTTAGGGTCACGAAAATAAGTTGGCTCTCAGGGAAAAAGCAGTGACAGTTTTTACAGAATAAATAATTCTTGCATGTCCTAACAGAGTGGGTGTATGCTAGAATTTATTTTTGTTCACTTGTAGTTGCCATACACAAATCATTCAATACTACAGTTGTACTCTAAGACATATGCAGTAAGTCCTTGGTTAGCTATAAATGATGCTCTGAAGTGCAGGTGGAAGGAACTGGGAATGTGAAATGGCTTGCAGATTTTTTTTCCAATAATCTAACCAGAATTAGCATGTCAGGACAAACAAAAATGTTGAGCAGATGGCTCCCACATAATTTCAGCCAGGTAGAGCTGCAGATGATTGCCTTATATCTATCCAGACATTAAATGTTACTATAAGGCTGTCTGATGGTTGGTATTTCCAAAGGCACCCAAGAGTATTAAACATCTAAGTCTCACACAGCTTGAAAAAGTTAATCATCCAACTCACTTGTGCTTCCTTTCACAATGAATTTTGGCTTAATACTATGTCAAAATACCCTGAAATGCTGAGAGCTCATTTTCCTATGCAAGCTAAATCCACCATGCTGTACCAACTTCCTTCCTTCAATACTAAGGGGAACCATGTAAATGAAGAGACTGCATTTCTCAAATGGTAAGTTACTCCTTAGTGACCGGAGAAATGCAAATTTCATTTTACAGTTAAATTACTGGATTTCTTATTAATTCACTTAAAAAAGGAACAGAAAGAGCAGTATTAAAAAAAATTTAAAAATAAAAACTCTGTTTAAAACCGGTAGGTAAATAAATAATTTAAATTTCTTTTAAAAAATCATTCTTCATAGTTAAAGCTATATAATCACTTAATATCTTTTCAGTATCAAAAATACTACAAAAGCAGATGTTATGCATAATGCATTTTAAGTTTTAATTAAAACTGAAAAAAAAACGATAACAAAATCAGAAAAACATAATTGCCATTAACTGAAGCAGTAGCCATTTTGTCCAAGGCTAAATTTTCTCTAAAAAACAAAAGTCTGCTTTCATTTCCATCTTTACAACTCCACTAGGAAGTTCACTAGGGCTGAAGAGATGAGTCAACTACAGAATATATTTTGGAGATCACATGGAAATGGTCGGCACTCCACCTTTCCTATCAGTATCTTTTTTGAAACTCATAATTATGGTAATACTTTCTCATTGATCACCCTAACTTTGATATCCCCAGGAATAAGAAAATGAGATGGATGAGAGCTGATCCCAAGTTCTGCCAGAGTAATCAAACTTTAAAAGATGATACCTTATAGGACTTCTTCAATTGTATCAAGGATCTTCCAATTTCCTTTACAAAAGGCTTGAGTCTTAGAGGTGCTCAGTTCTGCCACTAATGCTTATAATTTGAGTGTCAATGGTTTTGTAAGATGTCAGCCGTTTCTTATTATAACCATAGGGCATATTTGCATTATGCTTAGTGTGAGGCATTTACATCATCTATATCTGAGTTAGGAAATAGAAACAATATTATATGTAGAATCAGGTCTGGTCCGTACTCGTTAGGCAAATAGATATACGGCATTAATGTAGAAACCAAAATGAGTGTCTATACCAAAAGAAAGATCCACTGTGTACACAAAACACCTTAGTAGATTGACGTATGAAGGGAAATCTCATGACCTATCAAAATTAGAATCTCAGACTACAAGAGTAAAGATAGGAGAGGTGATAAAAATTCTGTAGTTGCTAGGCATTTTATGGAAAGAGGCCACATTCACTCATCTTATTAAAACTCATGGAACCTGAAAATATCCAAAAACCAGGAGGGGTAGGGACAGAAGATCTATTTCACTGGATTGGAAAGCTTCCTCTAAATTCACCTTGAAAGCACTTTCCCCATCACATACTTCCCGAGAGCCTTTTGGTTTCTCTCCTACTTGGGAGATAATTATAAACCTTTTTTCCCCTCTGTGACCAATGTATACAGAAGGGGGTCACTTCAGCATTTTATGGAGATTATCATGTTTTGTTCTTAACTAGATCTTTGTTGGAAATTATTTCTCCTTTGCTCTCTCTCTAACTCATCTAGCAAGTTTTATATTTATTTCCTTCTGTTTCACATATCCTCTGGCTGTGTCATTTGATATCGTAACTGCTTTAGAATGAAACATAGTTGAACTCTACCCTTCTATTTTCCTCTTTTTCTTTGCGTTCTCCTTTAATTTTAAATTTACTATTGTCAAGAAACAGTGACACTCAGGCATGAAGATGACGGAAGAGAGGCATTAATCAAGAGCTACATTGCACCCTCCTCTTGTGGATAAAAATCCTAAAAAAGTACAAATCCAAAGGGAAAGAGTAAATACTTCCTGAAAGGATTTATGAGGGCACCAGAATTATCTCAGAATATACCAGAATTATGTCCTGGGTTTGAGTGAGTGCTGGGGTTTCTTGGTAGCAAGGGAGGGGGATAAAGCAATGGCCCCTGTGAGAAGCTTCTCGAAGCTCCCCCAGCTCCTCTGCACCAAGGACAAGCCAATCAGCTGCGCCTCTGTGAGAACGTATTTAAGAAGGGACATGGAAGGAGGACTTGGACTTGTGAAGAAGAGTTACAACACCTGTGTGAACACCAAGGTCAGTGGGGGAATGGAGGAAGAAAGGAGGGGGGAGGTGTGCCGGAGCAGAGACCCCCCTGTATCCTGTGGGGAGATGGCAGGGCGGCCCCCCCCTGCCACCCATGGAGGTCACCAGTGGAGCAGACACGGATTTATGGCCTGTGAAGTGTTTTGCATGGTTGATCAAGGAGCTGTACCTGAAGAAGGCTGGGGTCTTGTGGAAAAAGGTAGCCCCCACTGTTGTAGTCCAGCACTGGGAGGATTGCAGCACGCGGGGGTGTCCCACGCCGGAGCAGCTCAGGAAGGGCTGCAGCCGTGGGAGGGAATCCAGTTGGAGAAAGTTGGTGTCCCACGCCAGAGCAGCGAGGAAAAGGCTGCAACCTGTGGGAGGGACTCATGTCGGAGAAAGTTTGTGGAGGATTGTCTGCTGTGAGAGGGGGACCACAGGGGAGCAGGGGGAGCAAGTTACAGAAGCTCCCCCCTTGAAGATGGAAGAAACGGCAGCACTGACTGCACCCCCCATTCCCTGTCCCTGCGCCACTGGGGGAGGAGGTAGAGGTATCGGGAGCAGAGCTGAGCCTGGGAAGAAGGGAGGGGTGGGGGGAAGGTGTTCTCAAGATGTGGCAATGCTTCTCACTGTCCTACTCTGTTAAGTCTTGTTAGTGTCTGTAATAAATATATGTTCTTTTTTCCTTCCCCTAACGAGTCTGCCTTTTGCTCGTGACCATAATGGGTGATTTTCCCATCCTAGTCCTATTTTGAACCCCAAGCCTGGCTCTCTGTCCCTTCTTATTGCCAGAAGAGAAGGGGGAGAGAGTGGCTGCGTGGTGTTTGGCTGCTGACCAGCCTCAAACCACATCACAGGTTTTTATGATCACAGTCATTTGAGCCAGGAAGAACCTAGCTTTACAAGTTCAAATTGCCAATGCTAATTCATGTGGTCTGATCTGTCCCTCACAGCTTCTGCTGGTTTTAATTTTATGTATAAAGTGACACTAAGAGGAAAATGTGATGGGAAATCCTGCACCACCCCATTTCTACATCAGGGAAGTGTGTCTTCTTGTAACACTACTACAATAGTACAACAGTATTGATCCATGCTCTGGCATCTCACCTGCCTTGGGAACTTGTTAAATTTAAGACTTTTTCATAGCTAATAAGCACAGTGTTTTCAATATTAAATCAAGGCTCAGACATCATTTAACAACAGAAAAAATGTTGGTTTAGGCAAGTTAGAAATAAAGTCTAGATCCCTAGGTTGTTTTTTTTTTTTTTTTTTTTGCTCATAGTTCAGCTTTATTCTTCAAAAGAAAGCTGGGATAGGGTAGCTTTTTCAAAAAAAAAAAAAAAAAAACAAAAACAAAACCAAAACAAACAACTTTGTTTTTCTAGTAGTGGATAAAAATTGCAGGACGTGAGCAGTAGCAGTACTGCAGCAACCAGCTTCCTAAGTATCCCCCAAAGACTTAGCATTCCAAACAGAAGTAGCAGACTTCATAACTCATCACATGTTTTTGCGAGTGATATTGATGGTCAATAACTGACAGTATTTTCTCTGAATTCACCAATCATACATAATTTCTAATAAACAGAAAAAGGAAATGTTCTTTTATCAAGAAGCTTTCAGTATCTCTGTATTAAGAGATGATATAAGAATAAAGACTTTTTACAAAGCCCTCAGAAATGTGGGCCACTTTGGAAATTAAATCACAACTGTGACTACATCAGACAGATCACACATTGCTAAAAAATTTTCCCTTCAAGATATTAAGAACAGACATTTCTTCAGCCTAGCTGTCCTGCTTTATATATCATTCACTCATCCAGCTGCGTAGCCCTCTCCCATTCCCCTCAGACAAGTTCTTCACGATTTCAGTAGCAGCTGTTGAAGGAAGTTTTCTACGTCTAAGATAATATAAACATTAAAGGTTATAAGCGTTTTTATATACCTAGGTGTCCTTAAAAAGAGAAACTTTTTATGTTTTACCAAGCTTAAGCGTGAGCTCCCCTCTTCCCCAATGAGCAACATTCATACCACCAAGTCTTAAGGAAACTAAAGCAGCACCCGATTTTTTTCTCTTCACTCCTGTCTGTCCCCCGGCTTTAATTTCTGCCTCTTTCAGAATCCTATCTGGCACATGGAGGAGGATTTTTCAATAAATCAGTACTCTAATAAAAAAGGACTGCTTCTATGTACTCCACATATTAAATGAGTTTCTCTTATACAGATAAAAACATTCACCTTATGCTCTATATTTGACATTCATTTTTCATAACAGACCTTAATAAAAAGCACCTGGCAAAAATGTGAATCTAACATAGCACCATGTTAAAACTTGTCTGCTTTGACAATGTTTTCCTGATGAGACATAATAGCTAATCCATTTAATTTGTTTTCAAAAAGAATTATAGCATTTTGCTGTTCTCAAAGTATACTTTAGAAAAAGAATAATCATCTGAAAGAACTGCTACAAGGATAGGTATGTTAAATAATAGCTGTCATTTTTTTGTCAGCAAAATGAAAGGATACTGTTTTCAGAAAGAAGTTAGCAGTTTACCCATGAAAAATGTAAAACCAAAACCAAATTATATGATTTTTCCTGAAATTATTATAGCATAAATAAATTTGTATCACCTATATGGAAAATAATACATACATGAACAAACTGCTCCCCAGCACATGTACATACAAAGAACAAATTACCTTCCAAAATGTGATCAAGAGCAGAATTTTCAAAATTACATTTATGTCTCATTTACTCCATGAAATTAGTAAAAAGAAAAGGCAGAGAAAGGAAAGCCAAAGCATAAGAGACTCATTGAGGAATACCATCAACCAAAAAAATATCTACATGTTCTGATGATTACCACCCTCCCAAACGGGCTTTGCTAATCCAGGGATAGGCTTCCTGGCAGCAGCTGCAACTTGGATCACTGTGTTTTGAGCTAAGCTCTGTCCTGTCCTCACAAAAACAACACTGAAGAGTTGTATGAGGTGCAGTGTTCCTAAAAACACAGTCAGTCAACATCATTACAGCATACACTTCCATTTTACACCAGTGACTTACCCAGATATTTCCATCTTGGTGGTACGGTTTCCAGTTTCTCCCTGTATCGCTATAGAGCATCCGATACTGAGTGACCCAGTCAGAGCTGCTGTACCTGCCTTGAGTCGCAACAGCACTGATCTGCTTCCTGCTCCCAAAATCCACCTGCAGCCACTGGTAATGATCGCTGTCTGATGGAGACCAACCTCCTGCAACTGTTGGGTTGAAACCAGAAAGATTTAGACCTCAAGCACTCGTTTTGACATGAACACATCATGAAGGTGCTAATTGCTGAAAGGCAGCACAGATAAGAAGAGTATAATACCAAAAATCTTGAATGTATACAAGATAAATATGATTGCACATTTTTTTAAAAATGCATCTTTAACAGAGGTTTCAAATACATTAACTCTGTTGCCTTAATCATTTTATGATATAATTATAATGATTCATTGGGCTGCCTACAAATGAAACAATGCCTTTATAATGCCTTGATTACAGTTTATTAGTTTTTGTCAAATTGTAGTTGTTCAAGGGTTGACCAAATTGCCATGAAATCCTTTGTCAGAGTAACTTGGCACATATCAATCACAATCTTGGGATTTCATATGACTTTTCAGTGGCATTTTACATTAGAGATACTACAGATAAAACGGAAGTAAGAGCAAGCTCTCTGCTTTCCTGTTTCACTATAGTGCACAAACTGAAAGATCTACCAGAAGAACTGAAAAAGGAGCAGGTACTGCAGGGTTGGATCCACTTTTAATCTGTTGGGTGTACAAACTGTCACAGATTACATTGGCAGATGATTCACAGAAGTATGATTGCTGTTTATGGGTCTATGAATTAACTTGACAGTAATACTATTAACAGTATTCTTCTCAGCCACTAGACTATACTGAATTGTTCTAAATAAAGAAGGCCAATGATGCATAAATACATGTAGTATTAATACATTAATGTAATTTCTTATTCTTCTGAAATAAAAAAGATCAAGGGGAAAATAGTAGTTGGATACTGCAGAGAATGATAAAAATTCTAAGACAGATATTATGGTGTATTTACCATAATGATGAGTATTAGAAAATACATGAAACAAAAAAAAAAATAAATAAAATAAAATCCATCAATACAGAGAAAAAGTGGAGAATCATTCTCTTTATTTACATATCAGACATTAAGACACAGAAAACAAAAACTTTACAGACTTAAAGTGATTATAGAGGGATTTTTTGCTTTTAAGTTTGAGCCACATAAAAGGCCTGGCACACCATGAAATCACATAGTCCAGTCCACCGGACAATTTTTGTTACTTTTAATTTCACTTACAGGCTTCAACTGAGTCACAAACCCAGCCTATTTGCCAAGCAAGTACTCTGCTGTACTCTCTGCTGTACTCTGCTGTACTGCGTCTTATGTACTCCCATCATTAGGCGGCAGCATTGCCTCAGTCTTAGACAATTCTAAAAGTCATTCAGCTGCTACGGGTGTTAAAATTTGCAGGTCATGGGACATTTTAATCTTGTGATACCAACGGGATCATTTGATGTCATAAATAGTTGCCTTCCATTGAAATTAAAAGTGTAGCAATATGCCAAAACCATCTAATTTTTTTTTTATCCCTGCTCTACAGGTAATTACACCTAGCAATATAAACAGGCTATTTTAGGGGTAGGGAATAGTTAAATGCTATTTAAAAACAAAACAAAACAAAACAAAGCAAAACAAAACAAAACAAAGCAAAACAAAATAAAGCAAAACAAAACAAAACCACCCTTACTAAAAGCTCTGGTAGGGAAAAGTATTCCCACTCATTCCCAAATTCAAACTAGCTCTATTTTTGCAAAGAATGGTAACTGGTCATTTAAAAATAGAACATAGCTTCTTCACAACTATTATTCAAAGAGATTGGAACAGTTAGCTCTACATACTTTTCATAATAGAAGAGACAATGTTTTCTCTCTCTATCCTAACATCCCTGTCCAGCTGGTATATCTGAGACTGATGGCACACAAAGGCTAAGAAGTAGATGTACCCCTGTACAGAAGCCACCTTTGTAAGAGAACCCTTTGGTGGTTCCAGAAAAAGTAAGGTTCAAATATGAGAATTCAAAAATTATGATGAAAGACAGAGCTGGTAAATCCATCAATAAAATGTCCTTCAGCAATGCAATTGTTGAAAAAGGATGATATACTATATCAGTAAGGAGGCTAAAGTAGACATTATGTTTTTACACTTTTTATTTATGCAAGAGATTTTGTTATGCAGGAGGATCTACATTAAAATAGGAGATTTCATTACATACATTTAAAAGACAATACTTTTAATTATAAAATGATATAATTTTTACTTTTAGTACATTCATATTACTGAAATGGGACTTTGGCCTTCTTTAACTGATAAACATTTATTGTAAATCACAACTAGATTTCAGGAAGTCTTCACCTACAAATCCATTGAAAAGTTTGGAAAGATTGACTGCTAGCATTCATTTTCCCGTATTTCTGATGTAAGAAGAGGCAGAAAACATTCTTCACATCGTGCCTGACAAGAGTTAGAGATATGTGACACAACAGTCACACCTAGGCCAGGAAGTGGAAACATGAGTATGGCAAGACAGTCTGACCTGTAACTATTTCTAATAATTGAGAGACAAGACTTCTAGTCAATACTGCAGACAGCAGCAAACAATATTATCTCATTTGTTTCTTGACCTAATTCTCTATCTCAGTTTCACATTTGCCTTCCGGCTTTTCCAAGCAAGTACATAAATAAACAAATAAATAGTCAAAGGGATGAAAGAGAAACACATTGGGTTATAGCTAAATGTGCTGTTTAGAAGACCAACATGGGAAGTGAATGGTGATTAGCCCATGCGGCAGGGCAGGTGTCAGACATTTACCAGAAGCAGCCAGTGGGGATCAATTAAAAGTTTCCTCTTCCCTTTTGATTCATCAAACTGTGTAATCTGGGTGATCTGATTACTTTGTTAATTTTGTTGTTAATTTTGTTTTGTTGTTAATTTTGTGATATGTGTAACCTCTATTGATTCAAGGATTAATACAGGTCCTTCTTTTTTTTCAGGTAGATGCTCTAAATAAGTTATGAAAAAGTTGGATTATATAAAATTTTTCCTGCTGTGAGATCATTGCAAAGGCCCTTAATTTATCAGAGGAATTTAACAGCCTTTGTGTCTCCATACACTCTAAGTAGGTACAAAAATCTCACTTCCCCAGAAATGTGCATGTGTTCATGGCTCAGCATATCATTAAATATTTTGCAGAATAAAACCAGCTTCTTCAACGGAATTAAGCTGGTTTGATATTGGACAGGGAAGAGAGGAGTTACTGACAAAATATTTAACACACTTTCTCTTTTTAAAATGAGTAGCAAATTTGGAAATCAAAGCAAATTTCTACAATATGGTATTATTTTTGAAGTATATTTACTTTTATTGCCTACATATTATTACAGAATAATTAATTAACTTTAAGGAGTGATAAAAATCTTAGTAGTTTCATTGAGCATTACTTTGTACTAAAACTGCAGTGGTGTATTAAATTTGTTGAATAAATCCTATTGATGGTATTATTCTTCACACCTTGGTGTTTATTTTTAATAGTTACATGTGATATTCTGAATTTTACTACATGCATTATTTAAACTTTTTTTTTAATGGCAGGAAGAAGACATTGAATATATGTTTTTTTTATATAATACTCCATTTTATTTTGTGCACTGCCTTTTAATGCCAAATGCCACAATATACCAACATGAGCTACAAATTGTTAGAAAAATAACAGAACTACAAAGTGTTTAACAGATACTAAGCATATACATATAATATAGTTCACATTCATTAAACAGATAAGAGCATACATGGAGGTTCTTTGGTAGCAGGGGTGCAACAAATACAATTACAGACAATGTCTGCTTTTTTTTTTTTTTTTATGCTATTTCAGAAGTTGATGTGATTAAACATTCACACACTCAGCAGTCAAAAAATTGACTGAGTGATATTAACCAAGAGAGTCACTGAATGCTTTTATTTACACTATATAACACTCTACACCACAAACAGGACAACTAATTTCATCCTGAACAAGAATGACTGCACATGACCCTTTGATAGTAGATACCAGAGGACTGTAAGTTCATCAACAGTAAAGTCAACATTGAGCATGTCGCCCACATATCTTGTGCATTCAAGAAACTTTCCTGTACAGAAAAGCCTGACTCTTAATCAGCAAAGCCAGACAGAGCATTCCTGTGGTAAAAGGCAGCTATGAATGATTTAATCAAGCTTTACTTTCAAAACAAGCTACCTATAGTCATTTGATCTGCTCCTACTGCAGATTGACCAAACAATGAGTAACGAGTCTACTACTGAAAAACACATTCGATGATGCAGAAGACACATAAAACTACTTTCAGAATGTTAAGAACTTGTAAAACTTTAATCTTTTTATGATTTTTCCCCAGTAAAGACAATTGCTAACAAATGGTATTAGCATCATTACAAGAGCTGAAGTTCAAAGATTTAATTTTTGTAATTATGAAAACCCCCAATGGCTTTCATGTTTTGTTTTGTTTTGTTTTGTTTTGTTTTGTTTTGTTTTTTATGCTACGTGTTTTTATTCTACATGATTTTATTCTACAGGTTCACAGTGTGGAACTGAAAACAGTATGAAAAACACAATCTGTCTTTAAATGACACATGCAAAAGATATCACTTAATATATTCCTAGGAGTATAAAGAATTCAAGTCAATGTGAGTCTTTTTTTTGCAAAATTTCATGTATAATTTCCTCCTTTTAATTAATCATGCATTCCAGCTCCCTGTTCAAAGTTGAGTGAGCTAGCTCTCACTTACTACACACTAAGAAAGCCTACGTGATGAGTTAGCCTTACTTTCTTATCATTCCCCCCTGACAAATTATCAGTAAGTAGCAATGCTGAAGTAAGTTTACAGATTTTAGATTTTTGTCTGAACTGTCATATTCTACTGAGTTTACAGATGTATAAGAAGGGACACTGATGGTTTTTGAACATGTCTGTTCCATTTCAGTTAGAAATCTTTTTCTTTTGAAAATTTGGCACTTTCATCTTCATTCATGGCTGAAACTGGAAAGATTAATTTGCACTAGAATAATCCATTCTTGTTTTAGTCCCACTTGTTCATCATTCCCTACTTCAAACCACAAAATAAAAAATA